ACAGTTTAGGGAGGATTTCTCAGGTGATTCGCTGGTTTCAGCACTTAAGGGGGGCGGCGGGTTTTTTTTTCATTCGGACCCTTTTGCGGATTGTTGTGGATGTCTCAGGCGGTTTTGCTTTTTCATCCTCCAATATGTTTCGCTTCCGGAGCAGATTTGGAGGACGTTCGCGCCCTGTTTGCGGGCGTGTCTCAGGCGGTTTGGCCGTTATGATGCTGGGCATCTGCCGTTTCCGGAACAGTTTTGGGAGGATGTTTCAGGAAGTTTTCTGGTTTCAGCACTCCCAAAGGGGAGGAGGAGGAGGAGGAGGAGGAGGAGGAGGAGGAGGAGGAGGAGAGGAGGAGGAGAGGAGGAGGAGGAGGAGGAGGAGGAGGAGGAAGGAGGAGGGGAGGGGAGGAGGGGGGGAGGGGGAGGGGGAGGAGGAGGAGGAGGAGGAAAAGAAGGAGGAAGCGAGGAGGAGGAGGAAGAGGACGAGGAGGAGGTGGAGGAGGAGGAGGAGAAGGAGGACAGCATGAGCACGGTAGGAGCAGAAGCAGGAAGGGAATGATGATGATGAGGATGATGATGAGGAGGAGGAGGAGGAGGACGTGGGCAATTCGAGTAGCCAGGGCCAGACGATCGAGGTTCGATGTTCCAAAGTTTTTCAGGTGTTACTCAAACGCATCCGCCTCACTCTCCTTCGCTCTCCGCTCTACTTCACTCTTCTGCATTCATACTCACTCATACTCAGACTCAGTCACACGCAGGCTCACTCGCACTTAGACTCGCTCATATCCATACTTAAACTTATTCACACTCAGACTCACGCTCAGAACCATTCATACTCAGACTCGCTCCTGCTCAGACTCATCATCCTTCGGTCCGCTCAAACGCAGGCCGAGTCACACTCAGACTGCCTCACATCCATACCCAATCACACTCGGCTCACTCGCACTCAGATTCATTAACACACTTGTTCTCACACTCAGACCCACTCAAGCCCAGACTCACTCATGCTCAGACTCATCATGCTACGATCCGCTTAATCACAGACTGGCTCACACTCATATTCGTCCATACTCAGACCCACTCGCACACAGACGCACTCGCGCTCATATTTGCTCACACGCATACCCACTCAAAGCCAGGCTCAATCGCACCCAGCTTAACTCACACTCAGAATCAGTCGCTCTCAGATTTGCTATTGGTCGCACTCATGCTTGCAGACTGTGGGAATGCCTCGAGCGAGCGGTTCGCCCTCGCACACAGGCGCTCATTGACAGATATCAAGAGAAAGACGTACCAAGAGAATGATATGCACATATGGGGAGCCCCGCGTCGAGTATTTTTTGTTCTAAGAACATGTCTGGGTTTAAGAACACTTCGTGGTAGGCCTATAGACATGCCAGGACGGTAAGTCCCTGCTCAAGCCTCGCCACTGGCGCTGTCGTCATGTGCCACCGCCCTCGGCGGGCCCTCGGCGGCCATCGGAGGCCTTTGGAGTCTTTCGGTGGAGGGTTTTTTTTTCCGAAGGGCTTAGGCGACCCCTCCTCCTCCTACTCCTCCACCTCCTCCTTCTCCTCCTCCTTCTCCTCCTCTCGCCTACGGCCCCGGGAGAAACCGTGCATCCTTCGGATGCCCCGACGCCGCTGTCGTTTGTCGATCGTCGTGCGTCGTTCGTCCGTCGTCGTCGTCCTCCGTCCGCCGTCCGCCGTCCGCCATCCGTCGCCCGTTATCGGCGTCGTCGTCGTCGTCGTCCGTCGTCCTTCATCCGTCCTCCTTTCTCATTCAATTCCACTGCCGCCACCTGTGTCATCGTCGTTTCCTGCGTCCGTCGTCCTCTGTCCCTCGTTCCGCCACAGCCACTGCCGCTGTCTGTGTCATCGTCGTCGTCTGCGCCCGTCGTCCTTCGTCCCGCCACGGCCACTGCCGTCGTCTGTGTCATCGTCGTTGTCCGCGTCCGTCGTCCGTCGGCCGTCGTCCGATTTCGTCGTTGTCGTCGTCGTCGTCGTCGCCTCCGGCCGCCACGAGGGAGAGAGGCGAGAGGAGAGGGGGGGAGCAGTGAGCACGGCGGAGGAGGGCGAGCAGGAGGAGGGGGAGGAGGAGGAGGAGGAGGAGGAGGAGGAGGAGGAGGAGGAGGAGGAGGAGGAGGAGGAGGAGGAAGAGGAGGAGGAGAGGGAGAGGAGAGAGGAGGAGGGAGGAGGAGGAGGAGGAGGAGGAGGAGGAGGAGGAGGAGGACGGAGGAGAAGGAGAAGGACGATGAGGAGGAGGACAGCGGCGCCTGCGCGGGTCCTGGGCTCACGACGACGTCGTCGTGCCGCCGACGCCGTCGCTGTCTTCGCCGCCAGTGCGCTCGACCCCCATCCAGAGGGCTGGTTTGCGCCATCCTTCGAGCTGCTTTTTTCCGGTAGAGGGTTCCTGGCCCGGGGCTTTCCGTCTGTCGGACCGCCGGCCCCCAGAGCCACAGGGGTGTACACGCCGGTCCCAGATCCCAATCAACATCTCGGGGTTCAAGGGGCGGCGGTCAATGCAAACGGGCGACAGCCAGAGCGCCGGATCTTGCAGGATCCTGCAGGGCCAGGGGCGCACTGCCCCGGGCTTGGGTGCAGGATCCTGCAGGATCCTGTGGGCCCGGATTGGCCCGTGTCAGTAGATCCCCGATCTTCAAGCGCGGAGCAGGAAGCCATCAAGTGGACATACTCTTTGGGGAGGTCCGCGCGGGTTTCGGTGGGTCCGCGTGGGGAGGCCGAGAAGGGGCAACAGGAGCAGGAGCTGTCGAGGAGAGGGATGATGAGAAGGAGGAGGAAGGTGAGGAGGAGCCGGATTTCGAGGAGGAGGAGGAGGAGGAGGATGAGGAGAGAGGCGTGGTAGGATGATGATGATGATGATGATGATGATGATGATGATGATGATGATGATGATGATGATGATGAGGATAAGGGGGGACTGCAAGGCTCTGCGCTTCCATCGGGGGTGGAATGTCCTCAGGCGGCCGGGCGGTACAGGGGCAGCCGCCAGTTTTGTGATTTCGATGATTGTGAATGCCCTCTGTGGACAAGATGTCCCCCCGTGGGCCGCAGCGCGGACTCGGGCAGAAGCTCTTTGTCCCGCGTCGCAGGCTGTTGGCAGGTTTTTGTGGCTTCGAAGCCCTTCCGCATGGCGCCCAGTGCACCGCCAGAGCAGGCCATGGAGGGAGGCAGGGAGGGAGCAGGGAGGGAAGAGAAGGAGGAGGAGGAGGAGGAGGAGGAGGAGGAGGAGGGATGATGGTGGTTATGATGGTGCTGCTGATGATGATGCTGTGATGATGATTAGAATGATGATGATGATGATGATGATGATGATGATGATGATGATGATGATGATGATGATGATGATGATGATGATGATGATAATGATGATGGTACTGATGCTCATTATGATTACGATGATGGTGATGCTGCTGATGATGATGACGATGCTGATGATGATACTGACGATGATACTTATATACTTATATTGATTATGCTGATGATGATGATGATGATGATGATGATGATGATAATGATAATGATGATGATACTGATGGTTGTAATGATGAGGATTGCGATGACCATGACGCTGATGATGACACAGCTGATGATGATGATCATTCCGACGGAAGTGTTGATGATGATGTTGTTGTTGATCATGATGGTGATGACGATGAAGCTGAAGCTGAAACTGATGCTGTTTCTGGTGATGATGGTGATGATGATGATGATGGTACGGATGATCATGAAGATGATGCCGATGATGATGTTGATTATGATTATGATGTTGATGCTGACGATGATGATGATGATGCTGATAAAGATGATTATGATTATGATGATGCTGATGATGGTGATGATAAGTGATGCTAATGATGATGATGATGATGACGATGACGAGTATAACGATGATCACACCGATTATGCCGATGATGGTGATGAGGATGCTGCTACTGTTGATGCTGATGATGCTGATGTTGATGATGATGTTGATGGTGGTGTTGTTGACGATGCTAATGATGTTGCTGCTGCTGGTGATGATGCTGATGATGATGCTGATGGCGGTGATGATGGTGCTGATGATGATGATGCTGATACTGACGATGATGATGATTATGATGGTGATGCTGATGATGGTTAGATGATGATAATGATGATGATCACACCGATTATGCCGATGATGGTGATGAGGATGCTGCTACTGTTGATGCTGATGATGCTGATGCTGATGATGATTGTGATGCGGATGGTGATGATGCGACGGATGATGATGATGATGATGATGGTGATGATGATAATGATGGTGGTACTGATGATTATGATTATGAAGATGGTGATGCTGATTATGATGTTGATGCTGATGCTGACGATGATGATGTTGATGCTGATGATGATGATGATACTGATGGTGATGCTGAGAATGATGATGATGATGAGGATGACGATGACGATGATAACGATGATCACACCGATTATGCTGATGATGCTGATGAGGATGTTGCTACTGTTGATGTTGCTAATGATGATGCTGATGTTGACGATGCTAATGATGTTGCTGCTATTGATGATGATGCTGATGATGATGCTGATGGCGGTGATGATGAGGCTGACTATGATGATGATGATGATGATGATGATGATGATGATGATGAAGATGACACTGATGTTGTCGTTGATGGTGGCGATGATGTTGATGGAGGTGATGATGATGATGATGCTGATGTTGACGATGATGGTGATGATGATGATGATGATGATGATGATGATGATGATGATGATGATGATGATGATGATGATGATGATGATGATGATGGTGGTTTTGGTGATCATGATGATGTTGATGTTGATGTTGATGTTGGTGGTGTTGTTGACGATGATAATGATGTTGCTGCTACTGATGATGATGCTGATGATGCTGCTGCTGCTGATGATGATGATGATGATGACGATGGCGTTGACCATGCCGATGCCGATGATGACTAGGACGAGTAGGAGCATGAGCCCGTCCTCGAGGTGCGGGACTTCATTTCCGCGATGCAGGTGGAGATCAGGAGGGCGCTGGGGGCCACCCGAGGGGGGCTGGGGCCCGCAGCGAAGCAGCAGATCCGCCGATCCGCAGTGGTGGGGAAGGGGGAGGGAGGAGAAGGAGGGGGAGGATTAGCGGGACGAGGCGTGGAGGCCCTCGGCTTTCGGAGGTTCTCTGGTGTTTTCGTCTGCTGGCAGGACCTAGACCCTGAGCCCCAAACCCTTGCCGCTAAACCCGAAACCCAAACCCCTTTCTGTCAGCCAAGCCCTCAACCCTAAACTCTGAGCTCTGTTTATCAGTGCTATCCTAAACCGAAAACAAAAAAACCCTCTGTCCCAGCCTCGGGACGCTAATTCTGAAGCTCCGCGCGATCCTTCATGAAGAATGTGGCGCGGCGCACATCGCCCTGCGAAGCTAATTTCTAAACTCGCAGATCCACCATTAAACATGTGGTGGGCCACACCCCGCGCGCGCGTCCGAAGGAAACGAATTCCAAGCCCTCACGATCATCCATCAAATCTGTGGCGCGGGGCACGTTCCGCTTGCGCGGCTGTTCTGCGCCCCCCGCGATCGTCCACAACGGGAATGGTGCGGCCCACATGCCGTCCACGCGGCGCCCGCTCGAGGGCGGCGCGCGCGCGCCATGAAGCGGCCCCTGCTTCCCGTCGCCACGGCGGGGTTCCCCTGAAAAGACGGGGGCTTGGCATCGTTCGGACCTGTGCGCTTATCTTCGGCGAGGGCAATCTCGCGAAGCATGCTCGCACGAACCAGAAAGATGCACGGGGAATGGACGTTCGAACGATGGCAAAGGGCGAGGACGGACTTCGGGATGGGCCCAGGGATAAATCTTGAGCGGATTTTAGCTGGGCGGGACAGCCGCCTTTGTCTCAACTGGCTATTTCCGAACATGGGAGGAGGAGGGGGACGAGGAGGAGGAGGAGGTGGAGGTGGAGGAGGAGGAAGAAGAAGAGGAGACATAATAAGGTGACACATCATAGTACCAATATGAAGAATAGTACTAGTAATGTGACTAATACTAATAGTGATAAGACGGTTCATGACACCAATAAATAACAGTCTGATGAAGAAGGTTAAGCACAAAGAAACTTAAGACTTATAAGAAGAAGAGGAGGAGGAAGAGGGAGTTGGAAGGATATGTGTCGACGATGATGTGGACGATGGGGGAGGGGGAAGACAGGAGAGGAAGTTGCCAGCCGCACGAAGCAGCAGTATTTTTTGAGTCAGGGCGTCTGGAGCGGGCCATATGTAGAACGTGCCCCCTCTTGCGCTACCTCCATAATGTTGTCTTCCGCAGGATATTTGACGGCTGCGGTGGCCCCTGGCCTCTTTCCCCAGCAGCGGGAGTATGCTTCCACCATGTCCACCTCCACCCCCTTCTCGCAGGGTTGGAGGGAAACTCCTCAACCAGGGCCGTCCAGCTACGAGGGCTGGTCGGCTCTGCGTTGCCAGGCCGGCCCCAGGGCTGGCGGTGCGACCCCCCGACGGGCACAGCATGCAGCCGCCAGCCAGGAGGCTAGCGCAGCCAACCCAGCGTTCGACAGCTCCGCGCCTCGCTGTGCGAAATTCGTCCTCGTTCTCATCTTCGTCCCCTTCGCCATTCGTCCTCGTCGTTCCCCGGACCCGGCCCACGCGGCGCCCGCTCGAGGGCGGCGCGCGCGCGCCATGAAGCGGCCCCTGCTTCCCGTCGCCACGGCGGGGTTCCCCTGAAAAGACGGAGGCTTGGCATCGTTCGGACCTGTGCGCTTATCTTCGGCGAGGACCATCTCTCGAAGCATGCTCGCACGAACCAGAAAGATGCACGGGGAATGGACGTCCGAACGATGGCAAAGGGCGAGGACGGACTTCGGGATGGGCCCAGGGATAAATCTTGAGCGGATTTTAGCTGGGCGGGACAGCCGCCTTTGTCTCAACTGGCAAAGGGCGAGGACGGACTTCGCCATTCGTCCTCGTCGTTCCCCGGACCCGGCCCACGATGCGAGCGGCCTCCGCAGCCTCCCGCTCGCCGTGCGCCCGCGGCCCGCCGCGGGGGGCAGAGCTAAGCAGCACCAGAGACCACCGCCATCGCCCGCCGCGCCGTCGTCGTCGTCGTCGTCGTCGTCATTGTGGTTGTGGTTGTTGTTGTGGTTGTTGTTGTTGTTGTTGTTGTGGTTGTTGTTGTGGTTGTTGTTGTTGTTGAACATTATTACTTCTAAAGAATAATTATTGTTGGGACCCCTGGTGCACGACCCCCCCGCCGCGCCTAGGCCGCAGCCACATTTTCATCATTTTCGTGAGGAAGTCTCAGGCAAAACGGGTTGGTCCGGATCCGGTTGTGTTGTTACGATCGGTTTTCCCTTGCAAAAAATAAGCTAAAGTGGACATTTCTTGTTCTAACATAACCAAACTTCAAGAATCCCTTGCAAAAAATAAGGTAAAGTGGACATTCGCGCGCGCAAGACGAAATCCTTCCAAAACCTTAGTTTTCGTAGCGATTTTAACATAAAAACATCAAAAAACCAATGGTTTTTCAAAAAAAATTGTCAAAATTTCATCCCGCGCGCTCTTGCGGATTCGTAGGAAACCCAACACTTTTTAAACATTTCTGTCAAACGGGCTTTTGCGAGCAACTTTTTCGAACTTCTGCAACAACGGTTGCGCACCTGCCAGGGCCATCATCCCTGTCAAATAATACCATGCGGGACACATTCGTTTTTTCTTCGCGCGCGCACGCCGTCGTCGTCGGCCGCGGGGCCCTGAATAGTAGCCACGGTCGTCCGCATGCCACGAAGTGAAGTGTCCGAACGTCATAGGGCGGGAAGCTGGGTGTGGGTGGTGGCGAAGAGTCGTTTGGAAATTTGGTAGAGCTTGAACCGGCCCCCCCACAAAGTGGGGGTATTGCCCGCCTCCTATGAAAACCCTGGCACTGGTGAGAACGGAGTGTCCCCACGTGCTAGTAATTGTTGTTGTTGTTGTTGTTGTTGTTGTTGTTGTTGTTGTTGTTGTTGTTGTTGTCGTTGTCGTTGTCGTTGTCGTCGTTGTTGCCATTGTTCCCCTCCTTCATCTCATCCCGGTCCCATGCCCGCTGCTGCTCCCCACGTGTCCGAGTTGGCCAGCGGCATCGGGGGAATGCGCGCGTGTGCATGCTCGATCCCATAGCCTCTGCCGAGAGCGGCCCGTTCCCAGCGACGCGGAGAAGTTCTTCGCCATGCTGGACGAGGACGGCAGTGGAGAGGTGGGCTTGCAAATGGCCCTCCGTACTTCGACTGGGGGATCCACTACATAATCGATTTAACACAAAATGTTATTTCCCGTCGGACATACGGAACATTCCTGCAATGCTCCGTAGATCTACTAGCTTTTCTTCACATTTTCTCATGGGTGCGACGAGAAAATCAAAGGGATTTAATCAATTAGGTAGTCGATCCCCTACTCGAGGCTTGCGTCTGGCTGACCACCCCCCTTTCGCTGTTTGGATCACCGGGGGGGCGGGCGCTAATTAGGGTGAGGATGCGGCGCGCGCCGCTTCGTGGTGTGCGTGCTCGAGCGGAAAGGAGGAGGAGAAGGAGGAGGAGAAGGAGGAGGAGGAGGAGGACACGACGCTGACTGGACGCCGCCGCGCGGTACGCTAAGACGGGCACAGACGAGGAGGGGCAAGCAAGTTACCTGCCCCTCGACTGCAAAGAAAGCGGGCCTCCCCCACCAAGAGGATCGCGGGGAGACGCCGCCGCGGCGATCGGAGCGAGGCCCACCTCGGTGTCGAAGTCGAGCGTGGCGAGCCGCAGTGCGCGCGCGACGCGCGCCTCGCTCGCGCTGCCGTCGCTCCGATCGGCCGCCGAGCCGACCAAACAAAGGAAAGTTAGGCCAGGACCGCGATTTCACGAGCCAGGCAGGCAAAGTCCAGGAGGCTTTGGGCCAGCCGAAAAAGCTCAGGCCCCTCGGAACCGCAACCACGTGGTTTCGGGGTCGTCGACCCTCAAGGGCCTGGGCTGGGGGATACTACGAGAGTCAGCCCTCCCTTCGTCACCAGGATGCCGACGTTCGAGAAAGAGGCTTGGGTTCCTCGACGAGCGTTCTGAAAGCACATGCGGGAGGTCGCAATCGAGCAGAAACTGGCCCGCGACCCCTGCACTGTAAAACCCACATCGAACACAAAGGACAACATGGCCAGCCGAAACCAGGGCACCTAAGTCCCCGAGCGGCGGCGGGCGAAACAATCCCTGATGGGGGCCATCGGAAATGCTGGCACCGTAGCCAGCGCAACAGACGGACGCCCTCGAATTGAGAGGCGCCTCCTCTTGGAGGCGGGATCATCTGGCACGAACGCGGGTCCTTCACGGGGGGTGGGGAGTGGGCAGGGGCTCAACCGTCGGAGAGACCACATCGGGACCGCGCTGGCCAGGGCTGCCGCGTCCTGAGACTGGCAGGACGTGACAGGGTCAAGACTCACACGTGGCCGCACATTCCGATCGTGGAGGAGGCGAAGTCGAGCGAGCACGAACCGAAGCAGGGTCAGCAGCGCGCTGCCGAACCACCCGAACATCAGAGGGACCACTGGCCAAAGCCCGCTTTGGACTGTCTCCCCCAACACCCACCGAAGAAGAGGCCTCAAGGGAACCTCCTGGGTCCAGAGAGGGGGGCCCTCAGGGATCCACCTCGGTGCCTGACCAGGTGGAGACCCCAGAAGGCTGTCCCCCCCTACCAGGATCACCCCGAGTGTCCGTATCCTGAACGTGCCTGGAGCCACCACAACCCCGTGACGTGCCAAAGCGGCCAGTTCACGAGGGGCCACGGGCGCACGAGCAGGGCAAACCAGAGTAGAGAAACGGCCACTCCTCGCTTGGGACTTCATCCCCTTCTTGCAGTATGTGCATCTCCAGAAGTGCTGGCCCACGCGAGAAAGCGTATGACGCAGCTCACACGGGGCATCAGGGCGAGCAGCACGCACCGGCTTCGATTTGAGCTTTCGAGGCCGCCGTCACGGTCCACTCTACCGAATGACAGGTGGTGCGAGGTGAGCGTGGAACAACCATTTAAGCTTAAGTCGGGCGTGTCCCTCTACTGGAGGAACATACAACGATGTTTGGATTATGTTGACATATGTTTGGATATTTTTTGGGTATGCTGCATTTGTTGTTCAAAATCCACCTGTAGGGGGACACGCCCGACCTAAACTTCAGCGTGCTGCGACCAGGCTTTGAAGCAACCTGCATGGAGGTAAGTGGCCGCCTGTCAGCCCCGTGGAGAGGTCGCGGCCCTGCCGCGCGGCGAAGTCCGCGCATCGACTCGACTGGGCATCCAGGGAGTCCCCAGACTGGTGTTAAGTCGGGCCTGTCCTTCTAGAGGAGAAATATTCAACAATAGTTAAAACATAGGGGACGTTTTTTTTGTATGTTTACACATGTTAGAATATGTTTGGAATATTTCTGACTGTTCCTCCCGGATCTGCCTGTAGGGGGACGCGACCGACCTAAGATTGGTGCCCCCGAACATGTGACACACGTTGGGCCTGTCCAAGGCCTCCGTGATCTTCGGGCGTTGGTTAGATCGCTTCCCAGAGGTCCGTCTTGGCCGACGTGGCCCACAACCAACCCCAGGACCGAGCTCGAGGGCCTCGACGAGGCCGTGAAAACAGCAGTAGAAGCATGAACGATTCAATGGGCAACGTGCAGACACGCAAAACTTGCAGGAATGCAGAAAGCTCAGCCCGTGGAGAGAACTCTGTGAGGGTCCTGGTAGAGCCCCATGTGCAGCTGGCTGGATGCCCCGCGCGCTGCATTTCGCGAAGCCCCGTCCTGCACGAGTCGCCTCAGTCCAGTACCATGCCTTACTGCACGCGCCATCGGTGTAGACGTCTCCTGTGACTAGGTCCCGGGAGCCGTACATGGTGTACCATCGTCCACTATCATCACGAGGAGGCACAGGCAGCATGCACGAGCGGGGGGGGCATGTTTTGAGTCCAAAACCAAGATCCCTCCGAGCGCGGCGGGAGACCTCGAGTATCCACCGAGCGCACTGCCGCCGTCTGTCGCTCGGCACGTCCAGGACACTCCCAGGAACGGTGATACGATGTGCAAGACTCCGACGGACGTGCTGGGCGACGTGACGTGCGTGCACACCCATGCTAACACAGCCTCGAAGGAGGCCTCAGCCCACCACCAATGGATGCCCGCAGGAGGCCTGCTTCAGACACGGAAAGCTTCCATGGGCCCTCTGGGTCGAGTTCGGGGTCGACATCGGGATTTTGTGGACGAGCTCTCAGGAGCCCAATGATAGGTTCTAGCCAGTACCCAAGGGGTTTCTTAGGATCCATTCCTTCATCTGCAGGGCTGTGCCTGCGGGACCGGGCTTCCCACAGACGACGGACAGCGGCAGCGCGTGAACAGTCTCGTACAACTACCGGCGCATCAGCAGTCAGGTCGAAACAATCACCAGTCCGTTCTGATGCTAGAGGCCGAGGTCGTGCTCCAGCCGAAAGCCTTGACGGCCAGGAGGAGGAGGAGGAGGAGGAGAAGGAGCCCGAGCTCAGTGGTCAGCGCGGAGGATGAGAATCGAGTCTTGATTGCTTCGGTTTTTCCGGGAGGGGGGTGGGTGGGTCTGGAGGCTCCTCGAGGCTTCCAGCGATGGGCTCTGGAGGCTTCCTGGGACCTTGGAAATTTTCTGGGAGGCCTCAAGAAGGAGCTTAATGGAGATTTGTTATGTTCCCTCCACGCGCAACTCAAATGCACCGTACCGTGGGGGATCCCCCTGGAGATTTTCCGAAGTCGCCGGTGTTCTTATGCCAGCGCGGTCAGGGCTGTGGGCGACTTTGCATTGTCATTCGCCTCCTCCTTTTCTTCCTCGTCGTGCTCCGTCCTCCTTGTCCTTCTCGTGCTTGTCCGTGTAGTCTGAAGTGCCACCTTGTTCTTTTCTTTTCCTAGTTCCACAGTCTGAAGTGCCAGCTATAGGAGTCCTCAAATACAGTGAGTTCTGGGGGGTTTGACGGTGGCAGGGGTCCAGAGTTTTTCTTTGGGGTAGCTTTTGAGCGTTTGCCTCCCCCGTTGATAAGGTGCAAACTATTCGTTGTCCTGGGGCCGAACTTACTTTGCACCGTACCGCATGTGGCTTGAATCCGTGGCCTCGGTTTTGCGCCCTGAGGTCGGGCGATGTTTTGTGCGTGGTTGTCCCAGAGCTCTCGACCCCGCCGCAAGGCATTGACCGGCCAGTCGCGAACGACATCCGAGCGAGGCCAACGCGCGATCCGCCGGCGGCACGCACGACGAGGATTCGTTACCAAACTTTGAACTCGCAGCCCTTGTGAGTCGAATTGCGTACGCAACGGAAGGCCGACGCCTTCAGGCCCCCACTTCTATTTTTTCTGACTCGGTACTGTCCCGGAAGTTCTCGGACGTTCCCCTGAGAAGCAGGAGGCGGAGGGGTGGAGAAGGGTAAGCGGAGATGATGATGATTCAAACGATGGCGGTGGTGATGATGACGACAATGCGGATGATGACGATGACTACGACGAAAACGATGACGACCCGACGACCACGACGACGACGATGACGATAACGATGACGATGATGATGATGATGATGATGATGATGATGATGATGATGATGATGCTGATGCTGATGCTGATGCTGATGCTGATGCTGATGCGGATGATGATGATGCTGATGCTGATGATGATGGTGGTGGTGGTGATGGTGAGGAAGATGGGGATGATGATGTTTTTGAAGATGGTTATGATGCTGATGACGCTGATGATGGTGATGCTGATGATGCTGATGATGATAGTGAGGAGGATGCCGTTGGTGGTGATGATGGTGGTGACGATGGTGGCGACGACGACGACAACGATGATGATGATGATGATGATGATGATGATGATGATGGTGGTGGTGGTGCTGCTGATGATGATGATGGCGATGGTGAAGAGGATGCCGATGGTGGTGGTGATACTGATGATGATGATGATGATGATGATGATGATGATGATGATGATGATGATGATGACGATACTTGACAATTATGAGGAAGAGGATGATGCTAATGATGGTGGTGCTGATCATGCTAATACTGTTGCTGGTGATGCTGACCATGACTCTGATGACAATGAGGAGGAGAAGGAGGTTGATGATGATGATGAGGAGGAGGAGGAGGAGGAGGAGGAGGCGGAACGGGAGAGGGAGGCGCAGGGAGGAGCAGGCAGGAGGGGGAGGAGGAGGAGGAGCAGCAGCAGGAGGAGCAGCAGCCGCAGCAGCAGCAGCAGAAGGATTACAAGTAGGATCACGTGGTGGGATCCCGGTGCCGGTGCCGCTGCGCGCCGAAAGCGGGATACCTAAAAGAAGTCGACGACGACGTGGTCGTCGTCGTCGACGGCGACGACGGCGAGGAACGAACGATAGATGGCGATGACAATGAAGACGAGCGACGGCGGCGAGCGGCGGCGGCGAGCGACGGCGGCCGTGGCGGGGGCCGCCGAGGGACCGCCAAGGGACCGCAGAGGGCCGATGGGGTCCCGCCGGTGCGGCCGGGGAGGGCGGCGGCGGCGGCGGCCGCACCTGACGGGGTGCACCTCGATCCAATCGGGCGGACGTTGCCTTCGAGTAAGAGATCGACTCAAGTCACCGACTCGCGCTGTCGCAGGCCTAGAGGTTGACACCAACACCAATCTCGGCGGTGTGCCTCCACCGAGGGAAGCAGATCCCGATCTCGGTGATGGTGGTGATATTCTGGCTTCCGAGGTGGTCGAAAGATTACCACCAACACCGAAATCTAGGATCACCTTCCTCCTGTGGAGGCAACCACCTGTGTTGGTGTTGGTGCCCATTTCCAGGCCTCCAGCACTGAAGTGCCCGCTGGGAAGTGCCCAGCGGTCAGCGCCACCGCGGCCGCGTCGGTTTTGCAAACCAGCTGGCCGCTGTGCGCGCGAGCATGCGCGGGCTAGCGCGGCCGCAGAGATGCACCAGCCAACGCCAAGCACTCATTGCGATCGCCGCCGCATGGGTTTTGCAAGCCACGTTGCGCGTGGGTGGGTGGGATGTTTGCAAGGGCATGGGATGTGTCAATTCATGTGTAACATTCATTACGTAAACTGCGCATTCCGCGCCCGCCGCCCGCCGCCGCCGCCGCCCTCCTCCTCCTCTTCCTCCTCCTCCTCCTCATCATTATCGTCTCTCCTCCTCCTCCTCCTCCTCCTCCTCCTCCTCCTCCTCCCTCGAGCTTCGAGCTTCGGACGGTTCGGCTGCTGATGCTGCTGGCGCCCTCCTCCTGGGCAGGAGCGGCGGCAGGCACGGGCTCGGCGTGGATTCTGGCTGGCTCGGTCTTCGGGGGTCCAGACGGCGCCGTACGGTGACGGCCCGCGCGGCGACCTCGAAGTCCCGAGCGGCCTCGCCGCTCGGCGAGGCGCTGCGCGGTCTCGGGGGGCCTGAGAGGCCCCGGCCGCCCGAGACGTCCTCGGAGGACGGCCCGACCCGAACTCCCACGGACGCTCGGAAGTCCCCGGGCCCTCTGAAGAGCTCTCTATCACCAGATACGGACAGAGCCTCTCGGAGGGCGCGAGGGCTTCTGAGGAGTCCTCGTCCCGGTCTGCCGAGAGAAGGCCTTCGCCTGCTCACTGCCCCCTCCCGCTCGCCGCCGAGTTGTGCACGCCTCCCCTGCGCGACGCCGGCTGGCCCTGCGCGAGGGCTGCACCTTATTATAGGCCGAGGCGGAGCGGTGCGGAGGCCGCCTCGGGCCCCCCCCTGGGGCTCCTCCTCCTCCTCCTCCTCCTCCTCCTCCTCCTCCTCTGCCCCCTCCTCCTCCTCCTCCTCCTCCTCCTCCTCCTCCTCCTCCTCCTCCTCCTCCTCCTCCTCCTCCTCCTCCCTCCTCCCGGGCCTGTCCCGGGGTGCGTTCCTGGCGGAATCTCTGGGCCGACCCAGCCGCGGCCACGATCTTGGGCGGAAGGGCAGGTCTGCATTCCCAGACCCCCTCGGGCTGTGAATCATTCACGGCGGCAGGGTTTTCGCTCCTTTCTGCCTCCATGGGGGCCCTCGCCGGGCCTCGGGACCGTCCACCAACGAGCCGGGAGGAAGACCAGTCCCGGGGAGTGGGTCTGGACCTCTGGGAGTCGCGTCATGAAAAAATCATGACGTCGGGGGCCCCTGCGGCGCGTGCCCGTGGACGGGGGCCGATTTTTTCGCATGTGCCCCGCGCCCACGCGAGCGCGTATCCATGTGATCGCGCCTTGGAGTCCAGACCGCGAGGGCGTGGACGTGGAGACGTGCGCCGCTCGTTGCCCGAGGAGGGTCGTGGGGAGGCCAGAAGCTACCAAGGGGATCGATCTGCGAAGCCCACTCTCGGTTGCGAGCCCTGGGGGAAGTGAGAAGGAGAAGGTTCTCGCAGAAGGATCGCAGGTCTCCCGGCCTTCTTAGAAGTTTTTCAAGCCTTCCCCGAAGACACAAACCTTCTCTGAGGGCCAGAGGGCTTCTGAGAAGCCCCGCCTCCTTCTGAGAAAGCGTTTTCCTTCTCACTTCCCCCCTCTCTCGCCGCCGACTCAATTTTTTGACGGCGGCAGCGACGACGACGAGCAGGTGGACCTGGTCGAGTTCGTGACGGGCATGCAGCGGCTGCGCGGGGAGGCCAAGAGCGTGGACATCCACATGATGCTCCACGAGAACCGGAAGATGCTGCTCGCGCGGGGGTTGGTGGAGAGGGCTAGGATCGGCGGCGAGCGAGTGGGGGAAGTGAGAAGGAAAGGGCCTTTTCAGAAGGCGGCGGGGCTTCTCAGAAGCCTTCGCGCCTCTTGAGAAGTTTCCCGTGTCTTCGGGGAAGGCGTGGCAAACTTCTCAGCAGACCGGGAGAGGCCTTCCGAGCCCTCTTAGAAGGCACGCCCCTTCTCACTGCCCCCCAGGCTCGCCCTCGGCCTGCGTCTTGGAAGTTTGTGTTTGTTGTGAAACATGGGGTGTACGTTCTGCAATGTGCAGCGTGGGTCAGGAGGGATATCATGCTGTGGGCCGTGGTATCGCCCCAGATCTCATGGCGCATCTTCTTGTTTCGACACGTCCCTGGTCCCCCCCCCTGGGTCGCGCACATGCCGCTGGCCACGATTTGCGCCGCCCCCTCTTGGACGGCCTCCTCTTAGCCGCCCCTGCTTGGAGGAGGGGGAGGAACTTCGAACTTCGGTGATCGTTCGTCCTGGGCACTTGTGCTCGCTGTGAAAAGTGGGGGTGGGCGTTCTGCAATTTACAGTCAACCCGCATGGCAAGGATGGGCAACCTTCCGTTGGTACCCTTGCATCCTTGCCTCCTCGGCCCCTCCCTGGCCTCTTTCGTGGGCCGCGCCCCGCTCGGGAAGCTTCGAAGCGGGCGTCCAAGGCCCCTGCACCCTTGTCGCGTATCCTTAGTATACGGGTCGACTGTGCAGCGTCGGAGGGAGGAGAAGCGATACCTACACCACCAGGGCGCCCACCTCCAGCGAGGAGGTCCACGATGCCTCCCCGAGCTGGTTGCGGGGGATGTCTCGAGCGAGAGGGGGGGACCACACCACCAGGGAGACTCCCCTTGCCTCCTCGCACCTCCTCGCCCTGCTGGTGTTGGTGTCGCCTTTCCTTCTTCCCAGCAGCGTGGGCCAGGAGGGAGGCACGCTGGCGGGGGGTCGGAGCGCACGGCCCGACCAGCAGCCCTGGGAGCCCTCGGGCCGCGCGGTGCGCACCGAGACGTGCTCCGCGGAGGGGCCCCGAGGGAGAACGGCATCATCATCCGTGTCATCATCCTCTTCCTCCTCCTCCTCCTACTCCTCCTCCTCCTCCTCCTTCTCCGCCTCCTCCTCCTCCTCCTCCTCCTCCTCCTCCTCCTCCTCCCCCTCCCCCCCCCTCCCTCCCCTCTTCCTTCCTCCTCCTCCTCCTCATCCTCCTCCTCCACCTCCTCCCCCTCCTGCCCCTCCTCCCCCTCCTCCTCCTCCTCCTTCTCCTCCTTCTCCTCCTCGTCCTCCCCCGCACTGCGCCCTGACTGGCGCCCTGCGAACGGCGCAGCATGGCCCAGCAGCTCCCCAGACCCCTTCGAGCCACGAGGCAATCACGACGGAGGGTCTGTCGCCATGTGTGGCTTCTGGGGGGGCCCTGACCCCACCCTCGGGGCCGTCAACGAAACGACTCGGGGCGAAAAACCGCTCCCGGACCTCTGGGCCTCGAGTCATGTACAAACCTCGACCTCCACCTTCCGCACCTGCCGGACGGCAGGTGCCATGGCGGCCGCCGTCGAGGCCGCAGCGGCGGTCTCGGCGGTCTCTGCGGCCGCGCCGCAGCGGAAACTCCTGCGCGGAAGGTAAGGTTCGGAAGGTGGAGGTCAGGGGAGGGCGACGAAATCTATGCATATCCACCGCCCCTGGCCAGGCCCATCCCTGGGCTCGGGAGCGGTGTGCACGCCCCCCATGGCCTGGCCGACTCGGTGTCCCAGGTCTTCGTGGAGTGCATGCTGTTGACGCGGCTCTACGTCATTGCCAGCGCGGGAGGTTTGGAAGGTGGAGGTCACGGGAAGAATCATGACGTCGGGGGTCTGGGGCCGGAGCGCCGCATGACCCAGCAGCTCAGAGGAGGAAAAGGTACCCATATACCGCTACCCTCGCCCCGTTCTCCCCTTCGGGGCCTCCTGGGAGGCCCTCGTCGCCACCGCTGGCTTCGCCTCGAGATCCTGGTCCGAACTCACCCTGGGCGAGGTCCAGAGAGTCGTGGTATCAGTACCTTTTGGTTCCCCCAGCATGGGCTTATCCGGAGCGCCGCGTGACCTAGCGTCATTCGCAGCACGTCGCGTACTTGCAGCTGCGGTGCCGCTGCGTCTGCCATCCCATCGGAGCAAACTCGCTTGCGCACTTTACGCTCGTAGGAGATCCGGGGCCTAGGGTAGGTCGTAAGCCTACAGTATGGCCATCAGGGCAGCGATTGGGGCCATCGCACGAGTAAGAGCCACAAGAGGGACGAAGGGAGTAGTGGCGAGGGAGGGTGGTGCCAGGATGGGCGGAGGGAGGGGGAGAGGAAGAGGGAGGGGGGAGCGGTGATGGAGTCGAGGGGGGAGGGATGTTGGGGTGGGGTGGGCGAGTAGGCGTGTCTCGCTTGCGCAGGCTGGGAATCGTCAGCGGGCTCGTGGACGTTATCGGCGAGGACCACCTGAAGGCCGTGCCCGCGCGGGCTCGTGAGCAGTAAGAGCAGGCGAACAGAGAGAGAGAGAGAGAGAGAAAAAAAAAAAGAAGAGAGATGAGAGAGAGAGAGAGAAACAAACAAACATGTATAAACGCATTTCTCTCCTGTAAAATTCTAGACGCTTCGCGTAACCCCACCTTTCTGACGCCGCGACTTTGATCCGCCGTCAGGCTCTTCCGCTGGACTTGTGTCTCCAGTCAGTCTGTGTTACCCGTCAGACTCCCTGGATCGACGTCCTCGGGACCGTTCCTACTTGTTCGTATCCGAACTGCTGGGAACGCCTTGCGCGCCATTTTGGCTGCGCTCGGTTTCCTCGGTGTTTGTCTTCAGACTCCCTGGATGCACCGTTGCATGTCTCGTTCAGGGGTTGTTCTGCAGACTCCCTGGATTGCACGCTGGCTCTGACGCCCTAGGACGCTGCTGCGTGCCGCCTGCCCGCGGCCTCGCGCGCGCCCGCCGCTTGTCGCGGCCGCAGCCCGCCCGCGACCGCCCGCCGCTGGCGCTTCCGCCTGCGGCTGTAAAAAAAGTAACCCCACCAGTCTCAGGCGCCGTCTGGGCTCCTTGGCGCGGGCCGTCCCTTTCGGTTGTCCGCCCGCCCTCTGCTGCCCCTCCGCCTCGGCCTTTCGGCCGTACGGCCCGTGGCCTGCGGCATCCCTCCCCGACCCGGGGTCGGTTGACCTCTCGGTCACCCCCCACCGTGCGGGTTCCCCCCCGACGGTTCCCAAGCGGGGTCCTCATGCCTACCACGGTGCGCGAGCGCACGCCCGCACCCACCGCCCGGCACGCGGTTTCGACACCAGTCCCTGACAGTGTCTGGCGATCCGGACTGGTCTGTCGAGCGCCTGCATGGAGTTGGTCGATGCTTGCCGGTGCGTGTGACTCGACCGCCAGTTGCGACGGAGGGACCGTTGGCCCTGACGCTGGTCCTCGTGGTGAGTTTTGCCGGTGGCCCCCATCATCAGCACGCTCGCGGTGTCGTTCAACCTGAATTCCCCGCCATTTTGGCGATGCAGTGCGGGCCTGGAGGTTCCCCCCAGTCGACGGCGCCCGCTTCTGATCGGCAGCGAGGCCCGCCTCCTGTTTGTTCCTCCCCCCGCTGTCCTCTCGTCGCCTCCCTCCTTCCCCTTGGCGCAAGTAGCTCGTAGCTTGCTTGCTGCGACCTTTGACGGCGCCAAGCGTCCTCCGGTGCGCTCGCAATCCAAAATCGTAACCCCACCAGCCCATCCGGAAACGAGGCCCCGAGGGGGTGCCTCGATCAGGGAAGTGGGCAGCACATAAGAGGAAAGGCCCCCCAGAGGAGGCCTCTGGGAGCGTCTCGGGGGCCTCTTGGCGGTCCCAGGGGCCTCTTGGAACGTGCTGGGTGCCTCGGGGAGCCTCTTGGGGCCTCTTGGGGGTCTCCTGGGAGCCTCTTGGAGGGTTCTTGGGCGCCTCTTGGGGCCTCCTGGGCGCCTCTTGGGGCCCTCGCGCTCTTGGGAGCCTTGGGGGCGCTCTTGAGGCCATCTTGGAGGAGATCGGACAAAGAAGGGGGGGTCCTTAATTAGCCTCCCCCTCGGAAGCCCCCGACATCGCCTCTTGGGCCCCTGTTGGAGCGCTCTTGGGGCGCTCTTGGTCGCTCTTGGGGCCGTCTTGGGGCTCTCTCGGGCCTCTCTTGGGGCCCGCTTGGGTTCCCTTGGAACCACCTTGAGGCATCTGAAGGCCATCGAAAGCAAAACGGCGATAATGCTCCACTCATTGATTTCCCTGCGGTTTTCGCAGGATGCTGGCCTCTCGGGGGCATCCGTGGAGGGTTCCGTGGCAACTTGGAGCCGTTTTGGATCGGTCTCGCGGCCTCTTGGAGCATCTTGGAAACCATATTGAGCCAGCTTGGGGCTAGCTTGAGCCATCTTGGAGGTCAAGGCTTTCTGAGGCGCCCTTGGAACCATCTTGCGCCCGCGAGGATCCTCTGACACCTCGCGCCCCCCCCCCCCCTCCAAGGTCCACGGGAGGGGAGGGAGTCGCGACACCCCCTAGATAGTAAGTCGTCTAGCTCACTCCCACCCGCCCTCCCGACACATAAGTAACACCTGAGCCTTAGCATGTTCAGCGGTCGTCTATGGATGGACAGTTACTGGGAACCAAAACCGACTTCATGTGCGCGACCTTGGGGCGAGGTGCACCACGCGTGCCAGGCGCGCCACGCGCGCCAGGCACCCTTGGGGCCCGAGCGCGCCAGGCGCGCCTGGTGCGCCAGATGCGCCACGTGTTCCGCATGCGCCAGGTGCGCCGCATACTCCAGCCGCGCCAGGTGCGTCACAATTGGGGCACGTGCAGAGTTTGTCAGGTGTGCCTTCGCACGTGGCAGCACACATCGGGAAACATGTCGGCCCCCACCATCCTTGTCGAAAACCAATGCCCATTATTGTGTCTGGTGGGCCTGCGCGCAGCAGGCCATGCGCCACCCCCGCCGTCCTTGTCAACAAAACAGCTTGACAGTGATCGCGGGTGGGCCGTGCACTATCCAGATGTAGCAGCGAGGTGTATTTTGCATTGCTTTTGGGTAGGGATGGTGGCCCTGCGCGCAGCAGGCAATGTGCTGGCACCCCCGCCGCCCCTGTCAGAAACAAAACAAAGTGCTCGCTGGCCTGACGAACATGACTCAAGAATTTGTCCCAAACTGTATGTTGTATGGTTTGTTTGACAGGGGTGGTGGCGGGGGGGTGTTTCCTGGCTGGCCGCCGGTCGCCTGTGGGAGAGAGCGTATACTAATAGGGAACGGCGATGCACCCCTCCCACAAGGGGAAGAAAGGGGGTTGGAAGAGAGAACTTTCTAGACCACGTACGCCCAGAGGGCTGGTGGGATTACGCCAGGATCCCGCCGGGATCCCCCCCCCCGCGGATTTGCGGACCCCCCCCCGCGCCGCCCGCCCCCCCGCACCCAGAGCCCAGAAGACGGCCCCAGACAGCCGCCACGCGTACACCACTTGCGGCTTGGGTGCTGCCAGGCTCGCAACTGTCGCCACTTTGCACCGCGCCGTCTCTGTCCTCCTCCTCCTCCTCCTCCGTAGCCATTTTGGCTCAAGATGCCTTGTTCCGCCGGGGGGCACGTGGATGCCGCTAGTCCACGGCTTGCTTTCAGTTGCAGGTCCGCATCGGCGCGAGGGGCGCGCGGATGGCGGGCGGCAATGGGCCTGGCGGCGGGCGAGCAGGAGGGCGCCAGCGCGCCCCGCTGCCCCAGTTGTCATAGCAGATTGTGAGGATGTCTTAGGCGGGGCGAGCCGCCAGTTAGTGGGAATGTCTTAAGCGGTTTGCTTGTTTTCATACCCAACATCCTTGGCTTTCGCAGCAGTTTTGGAGGATGTCTCAGGCGTGGCGCTGGTTTCAGCACCCCTGAGGGGAGCCGCCAGGAGTGTTTTCACGGGCCTGTTCGCGGCCAGTTTGCGGAGATGTCTCAAGCGGTGTGCTCGTTTTCATGCCCAACATCCTTTGCTTTCAGAGCAGATTGTGAGGATGTCTCAGGCGGGGCGCTGGTTTCAGCACCCCTGAGGGGAGCCGCCAGGGGGTAGGACACAGGCCCGTTCGCGGCCAGTTTGTGGGGATGTCTCAGGCGGTTTGCTTGTTCTCATGCCCAACATCCTGGGTCAAAGCAGATTCTGAGGATGTCTCAGGCGGGGCGCTGGTTTCAGCATCCCTCAAGAGAGCCAACCAGGTGGTTTGTACGTTTTCGTGCTGCGAGGAAGGAGATGAGGCGGGCTGTTCCCTTGGGTCGTGCTCCGGCATGTGCCCTCTGGGACGCACGGAGGAAGGAGTCGAGGCGTGCTGGAGCCATGTTGATGAACAGACGTTCGCTATGGCATGACATAAAACATGATATGCACATCTGGGGAGCTCCACGCAGTGAGTTTTTCTGTGCTCACCTGCAGATTTGCGCGCGCGGGCTCCTTGGTACGAGTTTCATTGATTGCCCCCAGTGCTCGGCATCCACGCTCCTCCATGTGCCGCAAAGACGACGGCCCAAGAGAGTCCCAAAACGGTCCAAGAGGCGCCCAAGACGGCCCAATAGGGCCCCGAGAGGAGTCCGAGAGGGGGAACTCCAGCTGACATTTTGAGCCTTCCGCCACGAGTGGGCCTCGGAGGCCGCAGCAGGCCCCCGCCCCCAGGGGCCCAACAGATAGCCCAAGAGGCCCCCGCATGGCCCACCTGAGGCCAGGAAGCTTGAACACTCGCTCCGCGAGGCGCCCGAGAAGCATGCCGCATGCTAAGAGGCCCCGACGTGTAGGTATCCAAGGATCCTCTGGCTCAGAATTCAGGGACAGTGGCGGTATGGGCCGAGGGCCATCGATAAGCGAGTAATTTGTACACGGTTCGCCGCGGGGCGATGCGGCAAGATGGTTGCTGCGGAGCCCGCGTGCACGGGCGTGCGGACTTCTTGAATTCGTTGTAGGGCGCGATCCGCGTGAAGGGTGTGCCGAGTAATTCGGACACTTTCGCGCGAGTGGCTCCACTGTGGCCACGGGCGGACCTCCTCCAAGGACGACCCCGTGCGAGGCGTGTTACGAAATGGCCGGGGGCACGCCATGGGAAGCCGCCCACGGGTGCCACAGGTGGAGATCCCTCTGGGGCATGGCTCGCGTGACGGGTCTGCCGACATGGGCGGGGGAGCGTTGAACGAACTCTGTCTTTGGGCCTTTAGGCGGCGCTCCTTGGGGCACGATCCCCGTGATGGGGTGTGCCGCAATGGCCAGAGGGCACGCAGTGCGAACTTTGCCTGTGGGCCCGTAGGAGGGAATCCCTCTGGGTCACGATCTGTGTGCGAGCCGAAGTAGACGAGAGGGCGGGATGCGAACCTTGGGTCCAGGGCCGTCCGTGGAACCCTTTGCGGGCCACGATCCGTGCGAGAGGTGTGCCGGATTGATCGGGGCGACGCTATGACGCTTCACTTTGGTGCCGCACACGCAGCCATTAGCGAAACACGATCCGCGTGAGGGGCGTGCCATTATGCAAGCTTTGGCTCTGGGGACGTAGGTGGAGCTGCCTGTTGGGCGCGATACCTGTGAGATGTGTGCCGACAGGGACGGTGGAACGCTGGCCGCTAGCCAAGCTTGTTTCTGGGGTCGCAAGTGGAGTTTCCTGAGGGTACGAGCCGTGCGAACATCTATGTCCTCCAATGCCGCACACTTTAGACTCCAATTTTGCTGGAACCTAAGCGCGCGCCAAGCGCGCGCGTGTGATTATACTATGTATATATATATATATGTATATACATATATATATATGTTTTTATATGTATGTATACACGCTCACCTATCCGGGCCCACGGGCCCCCCCCCACCCCCCAGGATGGTATGGTCCCAGGATTCCTCGGACCCCCCCCCCCAGATGGTATGGTCCCACGACGACGACGACGACGACGACGACGACGACGACGACGACGACTACGACGACGGCGACGACGACGACGACGACGACGACGACGACGACGACGGCTGCGGCGGCGACGACGACGACGACGACGACGATGACGACGGCGACGACGACGATCTGAACCACCACAGCACCACACCACATCCACAGGGGGGGGGAGGGGGGCACCGCAGCGCAGCACCACGCCACGCCCACCTCTGAACCACCACAGCACCACACCACATCCACAGGGGGGGGGGGGGCACCGCAGCGCAGCACCACGCCACGCCCACAGGGGGGGGCGGGGGGGACCATCGCGCGGGGGGGGGGCCCAATGGCATCAGCATTGGGGGGGGGGGTAAGCCCTGGACCATATATATACATAATATATATATATATAATATAAGTATTACAGCGAGAGAGGCATCGACAGCGAGAGATTGAGACAGAGAGAGGGAGAAAGACAGAGAGAGAGAGAGAGAGAAAGAGAGAGTGAGAGCGAGAGCGAGAGGCAGAGAGACAGAGAGAGGGGGGGAACAAGAGAGGGAGGTTTAGATAAGGAGGAGTGGGATGAGAAGAAGGAGGAGGAGGAGGAGGAGGAAGAGGAGGAGGAGAAGAAGCACGAGCAGGAGGAGGACGAGGAGGAACACGAGGAGCATGAGGAGCACGAGGAAGAGGAGGAGGAGGAGGAGGAGGAGGAGGAGGAGGAGGAGGCGTAGGATAACGAAGTGACCATCGCCAGGCCGGCACGGCCTCCGACTGCGGATCCCCGCGGGTTGTCAAGCAGCTCTCGCGGGGAACTTGCAGCCCCGGCGCGTCAGCGAGCGGGCGCGTGGCCGCCTTCGGCAGCCTGGCGGAGCCCGTGTCCTGAGGCTCCGTGGGGCCCTGCAGGCACGAGGAAGGAGCAGAAAGGAGGGAGGAGAAAGGAGGAGGAGGAGGACAGGAGGACAGGAGGAGGGAACAGGAGGAGGAGGGAGGAGGAGGCGGAGGGAGGAGGATGAGGAGGAGGAGGAGGATCAGAAGGGGAGGAAAAGTATCATTTGGAGAAGGAGGAGGAGGAGGAGGAAGAGGAGAAGAAGATACTGAGGATGTCCGGGATGATGATGATGATGATGCTGTTGATGATGATGATGATGATGATGATGATGATGGTGGTGGTGGTGGTGATGGTGATGATGATGATAATGATGTTGCTGATGATGATGATCATGTTGATGTTGTTTATGATGTTGATGATGATGGTGAAGGTGGTTGTGGTGGCGATGATGAATATGATGCTGATGCTGGTGATGACGATGCCGACGACGAAGATGCTGATTGTGATGATAATGAGGACGACAATGATGATGATTGTGATGGTGATGACTAAGGATGACCGAGATTATTATGATGATGATGGTGATGATGATGATGATGATGATGATGATGATGATGATGTTGCTGTTGCTGTTG